TAGCCTCTCCAGGCCTTGGAATTTTTTCTSTTTGTTTGTTGTTTTGGTTTTGGTACTGAGTATTGAACCCAGGGGTATTTGACCACTGAGCCACATCCACAGCCCTTTTTATTTTTTATTTTGAGACAGGGTCTCGCTTAGTTCCTTAAGGCCTCACTAAATTGCTGAGGCTGGTCTTGAACTTGCAATCCTCCTGCCTCAGCCTCCCGAGCTGCTGGGATTACAGGTGTGCGCCACCACGCCCAACTTGAGCAGTTTTATTCTGGAGGTGGAATGGAGAACAACTAGCATGGAGCCTGGATAAAACAATCTTTGACTCYCGGTAACAATTCCCTCTACCTCCCTCACCCCAAGCACCCAAGGGGGAAATTGGGGTGGGATAAAGGGGGCTAAGCAAGGTGAAAAGGGGAGCCTAAAGCCCTGGGTCTATGGGGATGGGAGTTAGTGTAGACCAGGACAGATGATGCGCAAGGCCCCCCACAAGAGGTCCAGCCAGGCAACTTCTGTTCTCAGTTTTGTTTACTTAAAATTTAACTAATCAGTAATGTTCACCTTTTGACCAGGAGTATTTCTCAGCTCCAGGCTCAAAGACATCTGAGACAGACCKGCAAATGGTAGAGAGGGACTTAAGAGGTGGAGACCAGAGGCCAAGGCAGCTTCGGGGATAGAGGAGGCTTGGCAGGATGGAGTTCAGCCCTGAGGCTGCAGCTGCTCATCCAGACAGAAGGACACACATCCAAGAGCCCCCTCCCAGTGCCACTGACTGCTGCCCCCATGCCAGTACMGGGCACCCTGTTCAGACTCTGTCGGGCGCAGAGTAGTCACCTGTAAATGGCTGAATGGACAAGACACAAAGGATCAGGGCTGCCTAGGATACATGGGCAGCACGGCTGGTGAGCTGCCCTTGCAGGAGCACCCGCRGATGGCCGCGCCCGCCCAGCACTGCAGAACCTGCTGGACTCACCAACCTCGAGTCCAGACTCTGCCACCGATGGKTGGTTTGAGCCTCAGTTTCTTTATCAGAAAAAAAAAAATCTCTATAAACAACCCTGTTCTCATTCCTAGGGCTACTGTACTACTCTCCTTAGATGACCAATAGGAAAGAGTGTGATGGGGGAAGAAGAGAAGAGAATTACCCAAGCACTTTCCCTGCATCATCTCTTTTAATCCTCATAACAACAGCACTAAAAGGCTATACTCTTGTTGCTCCGTTTACAGTCGAGTATCCTCTAGTTCAGAGAGGGTAGGTCCCCTGCCTGAGGTCACCCAGTTGGCAATCTGCAGAGCCAGGCCAGGACCCAGGTGTGCAGGATGCAGACCTGGGCTTTGCACCTCTGCCCACACCTTCCCCGTGCAGGGTCACAGCTCTGGATAAATTCTGTAGCMAAGTAAGGGATCCTTCTTCTTGTTATTTATAAAACCCAGGATAGGAAAAGGACGGTTCTGAGCAGCTGTCCTTTCTCCCTCTGCCTCTGTCTCCTGGTGTGCAGAGGAGCAGCCTCCACAGGCTGGTCCTTTCTGCAGCCTCACACAATCAGAATTTCGGCCCTCTGGGAGAACCAACCTAAGAAAGCACGAGACTGATCTTCAGAGCTGACGTCTTGGAGGYGTCGCGTCAGTGTTTGGGTTGGATGTAACCTTGTTATCGCAATGCACAAGAAGCCCCGGATTTCATAAGGCTGAGACATCTCAAGCAAYGTAAGAAACACAACAGGATATTGCAAAGAGATCAGGGAGCTTCCTGTGGACTGCACAGCGGGCAGGGAGGGGGACAGACGGCACCATTTCCCCTGGGGCCACCGAGTCCCCAGTCCAGGCCTGGCTGAAGGACTAAAGTGCCCGGCCRGGCAGAGCGCTTGGCTGCTGCCAGCACCCTGAGGCCTGCCTGGTACTGAGCAGAGACTCCGCGGTCTAAATTCAAAGCAGCTGCAAGGCTGGGGTGTTACGTCTGGATGAGGAGAAGGGAGCTTACCTCATGAAAGAACAGTGGAAGCGGCTGCTGGAGAGATAATAAAAGGATTAACTGCTATTTTAGTGGCCATTTACTCTTCAATCAAAATGTCTCATCTATTTCCTGTTCTCCAGAGGCTCCAGGTCCAAAATTCCTTTGTCTATTACAGCGCATGGTAGCAGACGCCTGTCATGAGAAATTAATAATTTCACAGGGAAGGGAGATTGTACTTATCTATCTGGGTGCGGGCTGGGGCCCGCCCCATCCCTGGGTCACCTACTGTGCCAGCATCGTGGGCGGGGAGAGCACTCCCACCCCATGGCAGGCAGGAGGGGCTCCTAGAGGCTCCGAGAGGCCTCAGAAGATGTGGGAGGAGATTGTTGCTGCCAGCTGCAGATGGTGGCACCCAGCAGGGCCAGCCCTAAGGCTCCAGAGAATCATTAACAGAAAATTTATGGACAAGAGCATGGCCGTTTTGAAAGACATGGGTTCAAATCCCACTCCAATGGTTACTAGCTGTGTAACTTCAGGCTTTATTTTTATTGTCACTACTACTACAATGATCCTTTTTTATTGTTGTTGCTAATATTATTGTCTTTAGCTGTGTGACCTAGGGCCCGTTGAGCAATCTCTCTGATCCTCAGTTTCCTCATCTGCAGATGGGGGTTAACGATATCATCCTGCAGGGCTGTGGTGGTAGCTCAGCACTCAGCAACTGCCTGCAAGTGTAACCATCATTGTGCTCCTGATCCCAAAGGGCAAGACCAAGTGCTCACCTAGGAGCAAGAGGGAGGCTGGCTGGGAAGGAGCCTGTAAAAACCCCTGGGTTTGACAGCACCCTCGTAAAGACTAAACACAGTTACCAGGGAGCCTGGACACCACCACCTCCAGGAAGCCTGCCAGGCCTCCCCTCCCTGGACCTAGGCAAACTCCATCCCAGGCTGCCACTGGTCCTCGTCCCTGATGGCTCAGGGACCCATCCCTGAGTGTGAGGTCCCCCAGGACAGGAAATATGACAGTCCAGGTCTGGGTCCCCGGGGCCAGGCAGGAGCCAAGTGTCCTGTGGAGTCCGGAATCAGGTGAGATCCCACAGGCCTAGGAGAGAGATCCTGAGAGTGCACTGACTCGCCTGGCCTCCCTCCCTGGGCCTCCACTTCCCAAGCTGGAAAATGGGTGGGGACTAGATCATCTTGAGGCCCCCAAGGTCCAACACGGATACTTCTGGATGTTGTGACCCCACACAGGAGGCCCCACTGCAAGAAGGTCACTGACCACATCATATTGGAGTTCATGGGACAAGGTAGCCTCCACTGAGGCCCTCGAAGACACCAGTGGGCTCACCCACATGACAGAGAACTACAGCTGTCCCTCCAGGGTCTCAGGGAGAGAAAGGCCAGACCACCTCCCAGCAGCCCTGGCCCGAGGACTCTCTGTTGGTCATGGCCTCCCAAGCAGGGGCTCATGTTCCRGCAAGCCACATGTTCTAAAACCCCAAATGAACTGGGCATCCCCAGCCTGGCCAGTCACCAGCCCCCCGCCTGTACACTCTCAGCCCAAAGGCAGATGACAAATCAAATCCATGGCCTGCTCAGCCCATCCTCCCCACCTCTTCTCCACACACCAGGCTCCCTCCTCCTCTTGTCCTTGGCACGGATGGCTCACTGCCGCTCACCTGTCTGTGAAATCAACTCCTTCTCATCTCAAGGCCTGGAGAGCTGACCCCGTATATGCCTGGTTCATGGCCCCACAGGTGACAGGCCTGAGGTGAGGTGAGCGCTGGCCCTGCCAGAGCTTCCTACCTCCTGCCTGGCCTCCYTGGGGGAGGGATACTGCTCCTTCCCAGACCTAAGGCTCCACGAGGTGGGGCCAGAGACGGTGACAGTGCACAGACCTGGAAGAAATCAACCTTGGCTACAACACTGACCCCTGCAGACCAGCCCTGCTGCRGCCCAGACTGAGCGGTGGCCTGGGTGGCCTAGGCTCCTTGTTCTGTGGAGCACACCCTAGGCCCAGCCTTCCACTCCCAGGCAGGAACTTCTCCTGGAGGGCCAGCTGGGCCTTGGGGGCAGGCAGAGGGCATCAGGGACTAATATTATGCCCCCGGCCTCTGGTGACAGATATCCACCACAGCGAGAGCACAATACAGAAATGACCAGTCAGAAGGGCCAGAGGCCAGGCTGCCAGCAGTCAGTGTGTGTGTGTGTGTGTGTGTGTGTGTGTGTGTGCATGAATGTGTGTGCATACAAACACGTGTGTCTTGCTTTCTCTCCACAGAAACCTTAGCTGCAGAGCACCAGCTCTGGACCTCCTCCCAGAGCTGGTGCTCTGCAGGGCCTTATCTGATGACCCCTGACCTTAGCCCAAAGCCTCTCTAGGGGCCCAGGGGTCTCAGGCCYGGTGCCTGTGAGGACTCAGTGCTCCTTGAGGACAGCCAAGCTGTAGGCAGCTCTGGGAGGAGGTCCAAGAGCCTTTCTGGGAAGGACACTAGGTGAAGGTCCAGTGCTGAAGGAGTGTCACTGCCTGCCTGTCAAGGCCTCTGCCAAGTGGAGCATGGAGCATGTGCACGTGAGAGAGGCTGGCCCAGCCCGCTTGACCTAGGAGACCATGCAGCATGCTAAAGCACACCTAATGCATGTCTGATCCTCAGGGTGGGGGGCAGGGCACCTGGTGAGGACAGTGTGGCACTGCCAAGTTTCGCTGTGACAGTGGCAYTGACCACCTTTTTTTGGAGGTACCAGAGATTGAACCCAGGGGTGCTTAACCATTGAGCCACATCCCCAGCCCTTTTCTTTGTATTTTTTAATTTAGAGGCAGCATCTCCGTGACTTGCTMGGGCCTTGCTAAGTTGCTGAAGCTGGCTTTGGACTCACAGTCTACCTGCCTCAGCCTCCTGAGCCCCTGGTGCCACCACAYCAGGCGGCACCGAGCATCTTGACCAGGGCCCACGCCCACAACACTGTACCTAGCTCCCAGGGCRCCCTTCCAGGGGAGGGAGATGGGCGCTGCTCTGCAGGGCTGGGGCGAGGCCGGGCAGCCTGCAGGGACTCACCATGCACTTGTTGGGCTTCTCACCCGAGTGCACCCTCATATGGATGAGCAGCTTGTAGCGGGCGTTGAAGGGCTTGTAGCGGCGCACGCAGCCAGCCCAGAAGCAGGTGAAGTCCTCACCCTTGCGCTGGTCGATGTGGCTCTTCTCGATGTGCCGCACCAGCTCCTCCTGCTGCTCGTAGGCTGCACAGCAGTCCACCCAGCGGCACGCCTGCCGCCCGGCCACCATCCTGCTGGCCAGGCCCAGCCCCAGGCCTGTAAGGCCCGGGCCAGCTGGCAACTGAGGCAAAGGGTAGGGAGGCGGCAGGCCCTGCTGGTGAGGCCCGAAGAGCTCTGAGAACTCGTCCGCAGGCTCCTGCTTCAGAAAGCCCGTCTTCCGGCAGGCTTCAAGTTGCAAGCTGCCCTCGTGGCTCTCAGTGGACACAGGGCCGGGCCGGGCCCGCTTGGCAGGACCCCCCAGGTCTCCTGACAGAGGGGGGCTCCGGAGTCCATTTACGCAGGTGACCAGAGCTGTCTGGGAGGAACGGATGATGGGGGTGACGTCAGAGGAGGTGCAGGGCGAGGAGGAGGCCGAGGAAGTCRGGGGCAGGCCCAAGAGGCAGCAGCGCTTCAAGCTGCCCTCGGGAGGGTGGGCCTCAGGCTGCRGGCCCAGGCCAGAGCTGGGCTCACTGCCCAGAAGGTAGCAGGAAGGTGCAGGGTTGGCGAGCCCTCTGCTGGGGAGGTCCAGATCCGTGTGCAGGCCAGCGGCTGGTGGGGCCCGGCAGTGAGTCAACAGGGGTGTGCGGGCTTCGGCCATGGCCTGGTAATCGGGCAGGGATTCCTGCTTGATGTGTGGTGTGGTTGGGAGGCCGCCATTCACATACGTGGCCTGTGGCCTGGGAGACCTGGAAGAGAGTGGTCAGGGAGGTCATGAGGAGGTGGGCACTGCACAGGGGGAGGCCTCGTCRGGGCTGCCAGAGAAGCCAAAGGCTAAAAGCAAAGGAAGAGGAAGACCAGAGATGGGTGGTCTGAGAGCAGAGAAGAGTGTGGAGGGAAGAGGAGAGAAGGAGAGGGCCGGGGGTCAGTTGAGAGGCAGGAGGCTGGAACAGGTGAAGAGGAGATGCCGGAAGGCCCACTCATCCTTTTACCAAAACCAGCCCCCACTCCAGCCCTGGGGCCCTCCTCCCAGGCTGCCCTAGGGTCAGAGGAAGCTCTGACCCCTGTGGGTTCTGTGGGAAGGAGGCTGAGCCTGGCATTCTGAGGAATAGCCAGGTCCAGTGGGTTTTAAATTCCACTTACATGTCCCTGAAATCTTTTTTAATCTCTGTAAGTTTTTTGAAAGTGAAAAATCTTCTAAAAATGTCCTCTGAAGTTCTGCCCCAAGCAGCCTGTCTTCCCCGCTGTTGGCGTCAGTGAATGGGCGTCTGAAGCACAACCACGGTACAGGGGCACCTTAACACTAACTGAGGAGAAGACCCCCAGGGGAATGGCCCAGGACTTCAGGCCCAGACTCCAGGACTTCATGAAATTGACATTCTGGGGAGAAGCCAGGGGCAGGCAGGGCAGGGCAGCACACAGAGGCAGGAGGCCGGGCCTAAGGCCAGACTCAGCCCTGTCCCAGCTGCGCCAGCTCAGGCAAGTCCTGAGTGTCATCGAAGAGATCCTCCCCATGACAGTGAGGGTGGTGCAGATGCCAGGACTGGGGTTTGCCACGGTGGCTGTCTTCACCATGGCACACAGTCTCCTAGAGAAGGCCTCTCACGAGCACAGGCATTCCCTCTGCCCACTTCACAGGAGGCCCGATTTARGAAGACAAAAGGATTCTCGCACCGTAGGGCCTACCATCCTGGGCTGGGGACCAGGTAAGATATAGGTAGAGACACCAGGACCTGCCTGTCACCAGAGGACTCCAAAAAGGAGAGGGCCAGGAAGGTAAAGCCCCTCTAGCCAGCCAGCAGAACAAAAGGCCCAGTTTTGTGCCTAAAGTCTGACTAGAACACCTCATGAGATCCCCTCCACCCCGCATCTGAGTCTCAGTTTCCTCACCCATGAAACAAGGACTAAATCTCTATGTAGCACTCAGAGGGCAGTTGCCAGGAGCAAGTCGCAGTCCTCTGGGAAGTGGGTGGCATGGTGCATGATGCTGTTATCACTGTGCTACAGCACTGCTGTGGTCCCTCTATTTCCAAGATGGTCTTGCAGCCCCAGCCCCTCCCTTTTGGCTCCCTATAACTGCAGCACCCTCAGTTCCAGCCCCAAGTGCAGGGCAGAAGAGGATCCAGAGCTAGGGACCCTGGGCACGGGTTCCAACTCCATCACAGCAGAGATGGAGAAGTCAAGAGGGCCCAAGGCTTGCCCRCCATCGCACAGTGGCAAACCCATGCCATACCTGGACTAGGARCCCATCTCTCATGTCCTATGTACAACTGACCTGACACTCTCCTTGAATGTAGGTGTGGCAGAGGATTTTCTGTTTGTTTCTCAGCTATAATGAGTAACCCTCCACCTCCCTCACCAGCAAACTCTCTTCCCACCCAAGGAGTCTGCTACCCAGTCTGTGCCCAGGAGAACCAGGAGCTTTGATTCTGAGGCAGACAGCAAATGCACACCCCCTCCCAGTGCTAGCAGAAAGCTCCATGTATTGAAGATCTAACTGTGAGGACCTTGTGGAGTTTAAAAATATAAAAGCACGGATGCTGCGTAGGGGGTTGCAATCGTGGGCCTGGCACAGGTGGGCTGGGCAGAGAAAGGCAGCAGGAAAGCCTCTGTTTGGAGCATCCTTTTGGAAACAGTTATCAGGCTAATCATTAATAGCAGCAAAGAGGAGCAGCTTGAGCATTCTGGGACTGAGCTATTGGAATGAAAAAAAAAAAAAAGGCTGGGGATGTGGCTCAGTGGTTAAATATCCTTGAGTTCAATCCCCAGTATTAAAAAAAAAAAAAAAAAAAAGAACAAGGTGGGGAATGGGGCTCGGGGGTCACAACCTGAGATATGAGTGTGTGGGGCCTGCCAAGAGGCTGGTGTGGCTGCCAAGGAGGCTGCAAGGTGGGCAGYCGGGGCCAGATCACAAGCTCTCCTCACTCTGTATTTCTAACCTTGTTTTAAGGAAAGGAGGCTCAGCTTCTTGCCTGAGGTCACCCAGAGAGCCAGTAAGGTATGGAGTGAAGACTTCTGCACCATTCTAACCATGGCCGTGGGGGCAGCCACTTTACGCACAGGAATGACAACATCAGGATGTCGTTGAGGCTATTTAAACCTCTTCACAACTGGCTAGATGCAGCTGGCCTATGTACATAGCCCTCTGGCCTCGGTTTCCCCACCACATGGTGATGCTGGGTTGGGGGAGTCAGTCCTTACACAGCACTCAGCGGAGCACATGGCCCACACGAAGAACCTGTGACTGTTGCTTATTTGCAATGGGACCCTGGGACAGAGGGAATTCAGTGGGAGAACATGCACATGCAGTCTCTGGCTGAGAGGGAGCCATTTGGCTAGCATCAGGGAGTTAACCTGGAGGCAAGAAGGCTGGCAAGTGGCTGTGGCAGGAGCTCAGGTGGCAGACCAAGGGGCCTGAGACTGAGAGGCCACCCAAGTACATGGTACCAGCAGTGGTGGTTAAGGAACAAGATTTGGGGTATGTGCTGGCCTGGGCCCTCTTTTCCTTTTCTAAAAGTGCCAGCTCAAAGTCGCTTTGGTAGCAGTGACTTTTCCAGAGTAGGACACTGAGTACAGACTCTCCTTGCCCTCCATTGTCAAGATAACATTCAAAATGACAAATGATATTTTTGATTGTGTCAAACAAACACAAACCCCCTTCCTTAGCTCGTCCTAGGATAGCACAGCTTCCACCTGACATAGAATGAATTTCCCTGGAGAAACTGGACACTGCTAGGAAGTCTTGTGAATAATTAGGCAGATAAATGCACTTGACTCTTGGTAAACCATGCACAGCTTAAAGCCTAAAAGATGTGTGTTGCATGTTGGGAACTGAACTGTGCCCACCCCCATCCATATGTCAGAGTTCAACCCCACAGTGTGGCAGTGTTTGGAGACAGGACCTTTGAGGAAGTAATTAAGGCTAAGTGAGGTTAATCTCCTCGTAGGAAGAGGAGATTAGGCTGGGCATGGTGGCACAGCCTGTAATCCCGGCAACTCGAGAGGCTGAGACAGGAGGATCTCAAAGTCAAACCAGCCCCAGCAACGGCAAGGCACTAAGCAACTCAGTGAGACCCTGTCTCTAAATAAAATACAAAATAGGGCTGGGGATGTGGTTCAGTGGTCGAGTCCCCCTAAGTACAATCCCTGGTACCGCCTACAAAAAGAAGAGGAGATTAGGACACAGATCAAGGGTGACCTTRTAAGAGACATTGAGAAAGCAGCCATCTGCAATGCAAGGAGTAGGTCTCAGGAGAAACCAAACTGCTGCACCTTGATTTGGGGATCAGGCATCTCTGACCTGTCCCTGGTCCTCCTGAGCCTCAGTTTCCCTATATGTCCCACATGTTAGGCAGTCTGAGATCCTAAGGCCCTTGATCCTTGGACCTCAAGGACTGTCCACAGGAAATGGTGGACAGGTGGGGATGGGCACGTACCTGTTAGGGTGGGGGAAATGCAGCAGCCTCTCGCAGGCTGGGGGGCGGCCCCGGGGTGGCGGACTTCCTGCAGGGAGAAACAGTCCCTGGTGGCAGGTGGGGCTGGGGCCCTCAGCAAGATCCAGATCCAGCAGACCCTTCTCYGAGCCGGGGGTGCAGTGACCATAGCTCCCATTCACTAGGCAGAAACCACAGGGAGAGAGGAGACAAGTGAGTGGCGACAGCCTGCAGGAGGGCGCGGGGAGAGGGCGGRCATCAGTTACGGCTGGGAAGGAGCACTGGAGCCACCTGAGGTACCGCCCTTCCTCACCAAAATCCCAACCAGCAAGATCAGTAACAAAATCCCCAGAGCTCCAACACAGATGCCAAGGCTTCATTGCTGAGAGGACCATTATGCAAACACTGGGCACTTAATGTGTAGCAGACACTATTCTAACAGAGGAAACTGGTGAACAGAACAAGCCCCTGGTGTCTTGGAGTTCACAGCCTGTCTTCCTGATGCTTGCACCTCAATCCTTGCATGGCTGCTGCACCTGTGCCAGCATGGGGGGGCCCGAGGCCCCACAGGTACTAGCACATGTGTGCCAAGGAGGAGATGTGATCCAACAGCACTACTGTCCCTGGTACCAAAGCCCCACCCGTGCTGCTTCCCAAATCACATTTCCCAGCAAAGAGGTGATGTGTGATCATTCTCCTCCACTCCCATTCCCTGGCAGCCTGTTGAATGCCCAACCTTGCCTGACTACAGGTCTTTAGGAAGCCTAATTGAGGCAAGAGACTAAACTACGTAAAGTAATACAAACGTCAGGCACAGTTGCTCTGAGCCCCTTCCCCTCTCTGGGCCTCTTTCTCATCTATAGATGAGGATGGTCAACCTGGAACATCTTGGGCTTTCTACTCTGTCACCTCTGGGGGTGATGCAGAGGAGGTAAAGACATGGACTTAGTGACCTCTGGACCACAGTGTGACCCTTACTTCTGCCCGAAGTCCACGATGCCACTGGGTAAATCCCTGCATGTGGCTGACCCTCTGCTCCCCTCAGCAACAAGGGACAGTCACACCAGTTCTCCAGGGACGCCGTGAGGTTTGGAAAGCAGAAGCGCACAGGCCCTGGCACAGTGCTGGCACCTACAGGTGCGTGTGGAATGGAAAGCATCCTTGAGGTTAAACTGCACTTCGAGACCTAAAAGGTGCCCTACAGATGCAATAAAATTTTATCAAGGGGTCCAAGGGTTGTCCAGGCACTGTCAATGCTGAGATAAAGCATCAAGGTGAGGGAAAAAAAAAAGTGAAGACCAGAACATAGCCAACCGCTTAAGCTAAGGACAAGGAGATCAACACCCAGGTCCCACTGCCCTCTGAGGGAGGTATGCATGCCAGCATCCCCATTTGACAGAGGAGAAAACAAGCTCAGGGAAGGGACATTCTCACCCAAGCATTAGTGTGCAGAGGAGACTGCACTGCTCTCGAGGTCCCGGGCAGTCAAGGGGCTCGGGCAGCCTGTTGGGGGGCTCAGATGAGCATCTGCTCCACGCCACCTTCCCGTCCTGCTGTGGGGAACGCTGGCTCCGTGGCCTCGGCGGCTGCTCAGCCAGCCCCTCACAGGCTTATTTTTTTAATAACTTGGTTGTTTTTTAATTAAAAAGAAATCCCTGGTAACAAATGTGAATGGCTGGAGTTAATGAGAGCAGGCTGCAGCTCGTTTCACTCCGTCTCTGCTTGGCCGTCCTCGCCTTTTCCAAATGGTTTCTGCATGTGATTTTATTGTCCCATTGAGGCAAGCCTTGGGACGGGGCCTCAGAAAACTGTGGATAATTTTATGACCATTAATAGCATTTGGAGCAGAGCGCGCTTAATCATCACTTGGGGCTGCTCCGCCAGGGTCTTCCTCCAGAGTCCTGTGGGGGGGTGCGGGGGCAGTTCTGAGCCTTCCTTGAGGACACGTAGGAGCTGTGGGCAGGAAAGGAAGACTTTGGGCCCCGGGATGAGCAGTGGGAGCCTTGAGTTTTCGAAGCCCTGACTCGGCCAGTGTCCATCCCAGGGTAGGGCCAGTACAGCCATTCTCCAGATGAGGAAAGGCCAAGGTTTGGACAGATTAGCTGCCTCGGTCCAGGCTCAGAGGTCTGTAAGAGGCAGGGCCACAACCCAAATCCAGACGTCTTAGATTTCAAGGTCCAGCTCTGTCCTGCTACCTCTCAATCAACTGATGAATAACTATAGACCCCCAAACAAGCATCTCTAACTGGGACCCCAAGGAAGATCAGAGAGGTTAAGCCGTTTCCTAAGTACACACAGGGAGTTACAGGCTGAGTTGAGGTCAAACCCATCAACTCTGTGGGAAGAAACAGTCATTATCAGCTGTTTCCCGCCTGGAGACAGTCAGAGGTTTTTCTACAATAGATAAACAGGCTGGATTAGGGAGAAAGCCTCTCCCGTCACAGTTTGGCACTGGTTGGTGCTCCAAGTCCATTCCAGCCCTTTTCTCCTGTACTGCCACAGAGCCCTGGAGGGAAGCTGTGACATCCCAACCTCATAGAGGGACACTGAACACCAGAGCTGGCAAGTGGCCACCAAGGTCATACAGCAACTGCAGGTCACAGGGCCCACAGAAAAGTCTCCCAAAGCCCATACCAGACTCTTGCCCAGGCTTCCTGCTTGCTTGAAGGCTGGAAGGTTAAACCAGGAGGCTGACATGTGGCCCAGAGATGCCGTCACCACCACAAAGATACAGGTGCTGCCTAGCACAGGGCGTCCATAGGCACCATCTCCCACTGCTGGAGTCTGGCCTCTCTGCTCCAAGGGCATAGCAAGGCCCCGATGGGGAGACCCCTTCCTGCCCACACTGACTCCAGGGAGTGAGAGAGCCACATGGACTGCCCTGCTGCCCTGAGGAGGAAGTGGGGGTGCCCAGGGAAAGGGCTGGCACCCAGCAGCCTGATTTCCCTCTGTGCCACAGGGGGCCAAGAGTGGACTTTGGAGGTGGCTTTCCCTACGCAAATGAAGCTCCTCTTCACTGGAGACTGATGGGCCCCGTGTTCATTTTTAYAAGTTGGTAAGAAATCTTAGAACGTCGAGAACTGGAACTGACTGAGTATCTATTTCATTAATAAATAAACTGAGGCTCCGAGGGGCAAGAACCTTCCCTGGTCACACAGCAAATCCACAGTGGAAGCCTGGACTGGCACTTCTGAAGTGAGGTAAGAAGTTGGTCTACTTCCCTCATCAAGCCTCAGCCTTCTTATCTGTCAAATGGTGCTGACTAGGTCCTACCTTACAAGGTTATGGGAACAGGCGAGATTATAAATACAATGCCCTTGGCACGGTGCCTAGCTTACAGGAAGCACCCGGAAAGGAATGAGGAGGACACTTATTTCTCCTATTTCTCCTCCAGCTTGGGGAAGGGAGGCAGGCCTTGTTTGAGAAGCCGTCTATCCCCAGAAAGGTCAGACTCGGATGACCCTGAGGATAGACTCAGGAGGACCAGCCCCCAAAACTTAAGGTTTCACCAAATACAGGGCTGGGCAATCTGGATGAGGTCACGGCCAGCAAATCTGAAGCAAATGGCTCCAGTTACACACCAGAGAGCTTTGCAAATTATCGTAATGAGTTGGCTGTAAAGTGGCACCACATAGAAGGTGACTCCCCACAAGAATTTTAATTTATGCTGAAACCTGCCAAGTCTGCGTGAGTGGCCATGGACACATTCAGCAACTCAGGCCCAGACGCGCCACCCTGCAGCCTCAGCAGCACCTGCAGCCAGGTGGGGGAAGGCCTGCGTGGTGCTGCCTTCTCCTTCACTAGCGGACTTCTAGTGCCTACCCAGTAGCAGGCTGGAAAAAGGCACTGCCCTTCTGCCCTTTACAGTTTACAGTAAAGGTTCCCAGCCATCACCCCCGGTACTTCACTGCAACCCTCAGAAGTTGGCTAGGCAGGCTCAGAGGGGGCAAGTGACTTGCCCAAGCCCACAGAGCAAGTCAGTGAACTTTACCAGGCAAAACAAGAAACAATTGAGGCTCTGGGAGCCATTTAGTCCATGCCACCACGACTCCACTCTGCTGTTGTACCATGTAAAGGAGTGAGTGGGGCTGTGTTCCAATAAAACTTTATTTAGAAAAATATATCTCGGGCTGGGGATGTGGCTCAAGCAGTAGCGCGCTCGCCTGGCATGCRTGCGGCCCGGGTTCGATCCTCAGCACCACATAACAACAAAGATGTTGTGTCCGCCGAGAACTAAAAAATAAATATTAAATCTCTCTCTCTCTCTCTCTCTCTCTCTCTCTTTCTCTCTCTCTCTCTAAAAAAAAAAAAAAAAAAACAAAAGAAAAATATATCTCTGGCTCTTGGGCTATTAATCTGCCAATCCCTGAACTTATGCAGCAGTTAGAGAGGGATTAAGAATTGGAGATGGTCATACTTTCCTGAGTCGGTAAAATCGGAAGAATTTTACAGGGTGGAGTCAATGACATGATAATTAATACTGCACACAGGGCCAGCTCTGCTGGGCATTTAATAAATGCAAGTATCTTCAGCCTGGCTCTGGGTGCCCCATAACCTGGGGTCCCTTCACCTGTGTGTCACCTTACACTCCCATGATGCTTTGCAGCTCCACATCCCTGCCATCTGTTCAGGGGCCTGACCCTCTCACACCGTAGGCCCTCAGAGCCCAGCTTCTCTTCCTGGCACATTCCCTGGGCTCTCACTTCCCTGACTGCACAGCACAGCTCCCAGAATCCCTTATGGGGCTGCCACTCAGGGTGTACCTGTCCACCTGCACAGGCCTGGCAACTCACATGTATTCTGTCACTCCAGAGTTGGATTGGGACACTCAGTACTACCACCCTGGTGCTTTTCAGTGCAGCTAAAGCCTCTCCTCCCTGCAAGTGACAGCCTTCAGGCAAGGACCTTGAGGCCCCAGGGCTGCTGACCATCAGTATACACTGAAATGTGGCTTTGCACAACTTATTTCACACAAGGAAGAGAAAACAGGGACTCATCCAACTCTTACAGAGCAGCAGGGTCACTAAGCCCGGGCCCCTACTGGGGACATCCCTCCACACAGTAAGACCCGCAATAGAGGGTGTAGATATAGGGAGGGTGGCTGGCTGGGTGGGCTGTCCCACGTTCACCTTTATGCCGACTCCATGCCAGATGCTGTGATTAGGGGACCTGGTCAACCTC